TTTTAAAAAAAAAAAAAAAAAAAAAAAAAAAAAAAAAAAAAAAAAAAAAAAAAAAAAAAGAAATGAAGAATTGTAATGGAAGAAAATATCGTTGCCTTGTTCCAAATTCCTCCTCTTCTTTGGTTTTCATTGTTGTGATCGGTCAGCATGTACGTATGTAAACTCACCATTTTATGCTCAGCTTTCCTCCTTTACATGTATATTTGCATGTATTCATTCAGTTTGCATTCCTGCCATTTATAACAGCTTTTTGGCACTTTACTATTTTGGCAAAAGAAAAGCACTTTTATTATTTTACGTTTTTCTCAAATAATTTTCACATTTGTTTCATCCAGCGTTTAAGTGGACAAAAACATGTTCATTTAATGTCCTTTACTTGGAAATATAAGAAAATAGGGTGGTTTATCCACAAGCTTAGATTTTACTTTGGCAGCTGTAAAAATATATTAAAATGATTTTAGTACTTCTGGAAAAGAAGTAATTTATGCCTGTCATGCTTGAAGCCCTTAACCTCATTTAAAAAAAATTTAAATAGTAATTAAATAATACTGTATAAAGAAATGAATCTATTATCTGTTCAGTGAGTTTATAATCTTAGGGTATTGGTATACCGAACAGAAAGTACAAATATAAATAAATATAGTTATACCAAAAAGTAAAAATACAAAGCTATTTATACTTTAGAAACTATTAAGTAAAGTATTTCCTGTGCCTACCATTTTGCTAGATACTTCAAGGAATACAGAAACAATGTGAGCATGCTGCCTGTCCCAATAACTTATTGTGTAGTTGGGGAGATGAGATGTGGAGAGAATGGATTTAGAGGAAACTTTCTGTGTCTTGGGAGTAGAGGGGAGACTGGAGTCCCCTCACTTTTCAGCCTCTTACAGTCTGGCTAAAGTTAAATAAGCAGAAATGGAAGATGGGTGGTAAACCAAGTTGGGAAAGTAATTTGGGAGGGTGCCTTCAGCTGGGACTGATATGAAAAGTCAATACTAATGAAACGATACTAGTCAGATTTTTATATCCTGGGGTTCACTTTAGCCTCTTGGTTTACATCTTATTTATTACCCCTATACACTCTAGAGAGTCTCTAGGCTTGTAAGAGGAGGATTTGATCTGGGATGTGTTGGCCTCATTTAGGAATTCCCTAGTAAAGTTTTGTCCTCTGTAGGTAGCCTTTCTTGTCAAAATTGCTGAGCCTTTGGGAAACTCACTTGATCAATCTGTGTGGTCAATCTGTGCATTAGTTTTCCCCATCTAGAAAATGGGGGTGATAATATTACCCGCTTCTTAGAATTTTTGTAAAGTTTAAATGAGATCATATATGTAAATTTCTTAGTTTACTTGGCACATAGAAAATGCTCAATTAATGTTGGCAGTAATTATCATGATCATCATCTTTTTTTTTTTTTACTCTAAATTCCTTTGTATTCTATAAGAATAGAAAATTGAGAAAGCCTTGGGCTATTTTTGATAAATATTTTATTTCCATAGAGTAACTAAAATATACTGATTAATTTTTTTTACTCTAAATTCCTTTGTATTCTATAAGAATAGAAAATTGAGAAAGCCTTGGGCTAGACTTTTTTTTGATAAATATTTTATTTCCATAGAGTAACTAAAATATACTGATTAATGTAGACCTACAAGATTAAGATTAGTTTCCTTTCCCTCAGAAGGCATTGGAGACTTGCATTCTCCAAACTCCTTGACCCTAGATATAGAGTCATGGATCCTAGATAGATAGAGATGGGAGGAGAGCTTATTATGTCTTTAGCTTTTTTTTTTTTTTTTTCCTGTTTGCTTTATAATCTAAACTGCATTTCAGTTTTCCTCTCTTATTTGTCTGATGGTTCTCTTCATGTTTTAACTGACATGCAATTTATGAATATGTGAGCTTTGCCTAATGAAGGGAATGAAGCTCTGAAGACATTCTGATTCTATAAGTATTCCTAGTGTATCTCAGTTAACTGATAGGTGGGTACTTGAAGCTCGACTTGTTTCTGCCTGAGAGTATACCTTCTTTACTTAGTCAAATTTTAGGTTGTTATGTGCTAAGGTACCTGCAAAATAGGAACTATGTTAATTTCTGGTACATATAAAATGTGATATGGGTATCTAAATTGTGTTTTTTTTTCAACTTTATTGAGACATATTTTACATATCATAAAATTTATCCATTTCAAGCGTGCAGTTCAGTGATTTTTAATAAATTTACTGAGTGGTACTGCCATCACCAGAAGTCAATTTTAGAACATTTTATTGCCACATAACCTTTTTTGAAGTTCACCCATTTCATAGTGTTTCAAAGTAAAGCTTGTTCCTTTTTATTGCTAGATAGTATTCCATTGTGTGGATACCGCATTTTGAGTATCCATTCACCAGTTGATAGACATTTGTGCTGTTTCAGTTTTAGGCCATTATGAATAATGTTGCTGTGAACATTAGTGTGCAATTCTTTGTGTGGACTTATATTTTTAATTCTCTTGCGAGTAGATACCTAGGAGTGCAATTGCTGGATCGATTACATGGTAAATTTATTTTTAATTTTTAAAAATAACTGCTAAGCCGTTTTTCAAAATGGCTGTGCCATTATACATTCCCACTACCAATGTATGAAAGTTCCCATTTCTGCCTCTTCTTGCCAACACTTGTTACTACCTGTCTTTGTTTTTTTGTATTATAGCCATTCTCGTGGGTGTGGAATGGTATGTCATTGTAGTCTTAATTTGCATTTCCCTCATGACTAATAATGTCGAGCATCTTTTCATGTGCTTTTTTTTTTTTTTTTCTGACCCGTGAGGGGATCGCAACCCTTTGGGTGTGGAATGGTATGTCATTGTAGTCTTAATTTGCATTTCCCTCATGACTAATAATGTCAAGCATCTTTTCATGTGCTTATTTTTTTTTTTTTCTGACCCGTGAGGGGATCGCAACCCCCGGCACGGTGTGGTCCACACCGCGCTCAGCCAGTGAGCGCACTGGCCATCCCTATATAGGATCTGAACCCGCGGCCTCGGTGCTCCCAGCGCCGCTGCGCTCCCAGCGCCGCATTCTCCCGAGTGAGCCACGGGGCTGGCCCTTTTCATGTGCTTATCACTTAGACTAAAATTTTTTGGGTCTTCAGCAAGAGATGCTATGTACCTTTCTGGCAGTCTTTGTATTGTTCTGTTTTCTACTTTTGAATCCACTACATAGTCAACATTTTGGCAGAGATTAGGTAAAGAAGATAAAAAGATTTTGTCTAAGTAGTTTAGTTTATGTATATTCATTTAAGTATTTGCCAGAATATGAGTCTAGTATTTCCTTATCTGTTTTTCATGGTGTAAAGTCCTATTAAACTGTCTTGTGAAAAAAAATGGTGAGGCCGACTAGTAGACCTTTGGATGCTTCCATTCCGTCAAACACCGTGTATGTTTATATTCTCTTGCTTAGTGACAGGGTGTTACCCTGCTCTTCTGTTTTCTCATGACTAACCTATTCAGAAATGGGGAATATGCAGATGTTCTTTCTTGGTCCTTGTTTTTAATCTTCCATAAACTGTAGATGAATTTTTCATTCAAATTATATCACCTAGAAAAGAATTCTGTTACTCATTGTAGTTCTAAGTATTTGAGTAGAGAAGTGAGGTGGAAAGTAATTCTTTGATCTGGTCACAGATTTTTTTCTTTGTGAAGTATGGGTCTATTTAGACCAAGGTTGTTAACAGTTCTTGTGTTTTTAGATTACTTGTTTGTTATAAATGTGTCACTTAAAAAGCTGTTTAACAAATACGTTTGAGGTTTATTTGGTGCCCCAGGCTAAAATTTCTGAAATCTGGTGGGAAATATTAAATTTTTATTTTTACTCTTTTTTTATCTGTGCTTTTTGATGATTTATTTTGTCATATTGAATGTGACTCAGTAAGGTAATTAGAATATGAAAATATAGATTATTAGTTGAATGATTACGTGGGATTTTTAAAAAGTTGTATGCATAGTTATATTTGTCTAAGATTTGTGCTTTCTTTCAAGGAATATTTATCGAACATCTTCTGTGTGTTAGACATTGTCCTAGCCTTTGGGCACCAAGCGGGGAACAAAGCAGACAAGTCCCTGTTCTCATCATTCTAGTTGGGGAGAGGAAGAAAGTTTAGATAGTCATTATGCACATAAAGAAAAAATAATTTCTTATATCAATTACTGCTGTGAAGAAAATTAAATAGGATATTGCACATCTTGAAAAGTAATGGAATACAATTTATTTATTAAAT